CCTGAAAAATATGCAATGGACAGCTAAATAATGCGCATTAAAATGCAATTAGCTGGAAGAACACAAAACCCCTAGTGCATACCCGTACAGGTGCCGGAGACCGCACATGCAAATTCTGGGGAGGAAGACCCTCAAAGTTGTGTCTGCAGAGCTTCAAGTGCCATTTGGGCTGGCTTCTGCACGGGTCGGTCTGTTTTTCTTGCTGTGGCGCCTAAAAGTGTGCTAAATTTAGCAGAAGGCCGCGACAACACACATATATGGTATGTGTATGCCCATGTACTTATCCTCATGAGAGAGTGTGTGATGTGGGGTATGTCAGTGAAATGAGCTAGAAATTAGTTTATGACGAAGGTCTTGCCATGCGAACACTTTCTATTCATGTCATTAACAAAATTTTGGACAGAAAACCAGGGAAAATTATGGTATAATAGTTTGGTAGAGTCTCTCAAAAATTAACTACTTTATACAATTAAAAGATAACATTTTTTATTGAATTATAATTGAATATTCTTTGTAAATCTGCTACCATTGCCATATTTCTCCAAAAGATATAATGCCCTAGAATTTTAGATAATTCCTCCTTATGGATTTGCCCCACCTCTGTGGCATTTGTTTGTAAACAATTATAATAGGCTTGAAATGAAATTTTAAGCTTTTCATTTTTGTCACATGCGCGCCAGAGATAAACAATGCTTCGAAAGTGGGGAGGTGGGCCTGAGATAAACTCAAACACACACAGATGCAAATTGACATGCGGCTGACGCATTTTGTTTACCCAAGTTGAATATGAAATTTCAGTGGGAGGGATAGGGGTTTTCAGTTGAGCTCTCGGCTTACGGAAAAGAGGGAATTCTAATTTGGTTGCCGCTGGATCTAAGCTATCTCTGCTCTGCTACCGCCTTCTGCTATGGCTGCCATCGATAAATAATGCTTTTTGTAGCATGCTTCCAGGCGCTTAAGATTGCGTGTGATTATATATGTACAATTTACATACACTAAAGGCCATATATATATTTAGTATATACGATAGACATTTGCGTGTGTTTGCGGTTGTCATAAATCAACATTTACATCGTGTTTATGTTTTTTGTGTGTAGCCGACAGGCCGGAAAAGGTAGCAACTTCCAAAGGTAGACAGCAATCGTGCTCGAATGTTTTGTCAGCCAGAAAGGAAAGGGGCGGGTGAGAATTGTAAATGTCGGTTCGGCATTTAATTATAGATTGGGCGTCCGTCCGTCCGTCCGACCCACCTTTAGATTGATGTGGCTGAATTAGAGCTTTGAATGGAAATTTTATTCCCCGAGATAGAACAAATTACTTCATTAATCGAAATCAGGACCGTGAATTTAATGTTGATTCGGGGTGATTTAGTCTCAATGCCAATTACAATAAAATTCCGTATTCGATTTGTACAATTTCCGAGTCAATTATTGGTTTCTTACTGATTTCGGGGATTATTGTTTGCAGTAGTTATTGAAAGTTAATTACACCATACACAAGGAGGACGTGTTTTCCGAATAATTTAATTACTTTGTGGCCTTCCTAGCTGTTGTCATTATTAAGAATCAATAATGCACAGAACCATGGAATTTAATTATTTAATGTCCATCTGAGAAGCTTGCTACTTGAACCTCTTGCCGCCTCAAAGGATAACTCATCTCTGACTTACATAAAACATTAATTTATCTGGGCTCTAAAAGCAAAATGTTGTTATGTTCATGATGCCGGGTAGTACAGCCAAATGACTTTGCATTCGGTCTAGAGTCTAGAGGGCTCTTACAATTATTGAGGCCAGAGGAGCAGTTAAGCAGAGTTCCATTTCACCCGGGGAGCCAGTATCCACACATGTCTATGTGAATTCAACCGGCAGGAGGAGTTGGAGGAGGATTTTCAATTAGCACATAAAAGCCCAGCGTGGTCCACATGGCCAATGCGGGCTGCGGCGGCTTGATGGCGGAAACGACTTGGCTCTGCTGCTCCACGTACTAAATTAACAAGCTGCTGAATTAGTTTTCAATGTGTTTCTGCCGCTGAATGGCAGTTTTGTGAGCACACAACCTGCGTGCGCCTTTCAACCTCCATCTACTCGCAGATTCCTTGATGTTCGACGGCGCTGAGGCACTCAAATTAAATGCAGATGTCGAATAAAAGTTTTTTTATGTCCCTCTGGCATTTCGTCTACTTTTATTTACATTACCATCAACCACTTGTGTTATGAGAAAAGTTGCCCGAAACAAGGGAAACTCATCACAGATGCTAATGATGTCATAGGCAGCTTTCGAGAAAGCCAGAGTATGTCATCCTGGCTCATGACTATTTTTTTTAGCCGCTGTTGAATGATATTCTAGTAGTCATTTTAATTACATGTCATTAAAAAAGAACATTAAGCAAAAACACTTTAATCTTCTTAAGGTTTTGAAAAGATGTTTTTATTTTCTTATTTGTAAAACAGACCCTTTTTTACTGTTCATTTGATATTCGGCTCTAATGCTCTCATTAAAATTGAATGACGAGAAAAGCAAGTTTTTCGATAAGAACCGGTCTCAATAACCTTGGGGTCAGAGCGAGGTTCTGGCCAAATTTACTTTTCGGTTGCCAAAGATCCAACGTCATCATAACAACTTTGTTTACTGCGCTTCGACCTGGCCTTGACTGCCGAACCGAATCTCGGGCCATGAAAAACCCTTGGCCTTTGTTTACCCCTAAAAAAAATAGAAGGAAGACCGAAAAGAATATTTTCTAAGCTCTGTGGATTTTCATTTCTATGCTTGTGTGTGTGTTTTCCCGACTGCACAGCCTGAAACCGCAAAGTCATAAGCCCATTAGCCAAGCCAGAATCGGGGGCATGAGACATCGGAGGCATTGGCATTGTTTTAGGCAGTCCTTCGTGGGATATATCCCCCGACCCATGGCATGACATTGCCTCTTGCTCTGTTGATGCGGAAAATGAGCAGGGAAATAGAGGAAATCCAGCACACAAACCTACCCCAGAAACCTACACATCCACAATGGCATGGGGATAACGACACCGAACCAACCGAAGGACACTGCTGCCACCGACAAGGTCTTGTTAGGTTAAATTATGCATATATGCCACGCCCCCCCCATTACCCCATTACCCCATAGTCGTGACTGAGAGGCAGTGGGCTGCACACCTTGGCATTTGATAATTGAGACCAACAGCCAAGCAATCAGTCAAAAGGGGTTTCGGGTTGGTACAATCAAAACTAATGATTGCAAACACACACTGAACACGGAACACCAGCCACATGAAAATCAAATCATTAAATTTAATGGAACATCAAAGCAACCACAAGATGTGTAAAGAAATTTTGCGGTCAAATGGAAGTGCACAGAGACATCCCAGAGTTTTCCTTTTAATGACAATAAGCAGCAGCAGCTGGTGCTGGAAACCAAAAGAAAACATTAGTTCAATAAATAAAGCCACAAAATGTTTTGCTGGCACTGAACTATGCAATCGCCTGGTCGGAAATTGTGAGACAAGTCCAGAGACATGGACGTTTTAAGTATTTATGGGAAATGGAAAAAGCGCCTCGGGCATTTAAGATTTGGCCAACACAAAGATCAACATTTGGTTTTCCATACAAACACCAGGCAATCGGAAAACAAATTGTTGTGTGAAATAATCGACACACTCTGTAAAATCCTTTTTAGTCTTAAACAGTAATTAGGATTTGAAATAGTGTAATAATGGAGTAGTTTAAAAAGTGACTTTACTAAGTGATTTTAAAAACTTTTTCCTAAGAAGGGAAGTTTTTCTTGTGCTTAATCCAACAACTTTTGCCAACTATTATTAACAGAAGCAGCAATAAAGCATTTTATTTATATTTGTAATCCTTAAAGATAAACCTCCAAGTGAGAAGAAGGAGAAACGCCCAAATTGAAATGCTGTCCTTCAGATTGTCTATTTCGGAGCTGTCCTGACTGCTTGCCACCGCTTCTAGGCAGGACTCACTTTAAATAAAAAATTCGTGAATATTTCGCAATGAAATAAGAAAATCCCTCGAAATGTTCTGTCTTGAGAATAGAGAGAAAGGAGAAAACGTAATAAAAACAGAGAAACAATGGGGACTGGGGGGAGCAGAGTCAGTCAGACGGGCCGAGAGACAGAGAATAAAGTGACAGACAAATGCAAACGACGGGGCAACCATTTTTATGGCCCAAAGGATAAGCGTATTACAACAACAAACAAAACAACAAAGCAGCCAACAACGCTGAAAATTTATATGCTAACGGCTTGGAGGGCCTGGGAAAAGGGCCAGGGCAGGGTCTAAGGATCTAAGTAGGACGACTGTTAGTTTTCTTGGCGCGTGCAAAGTGTTCAAACATTTTTAATGTCCATCTGCGTGCGGATTAGCATAAAATCTGCTGTCCTCAGCCATTCGGAATCGAGTTCGAACCCCGAGCCATTCGGAATCGAGTTCGAACCCCGAGTCCCTTTAAAACCTTTTTTTCCCCCGTCGGACGTGAGGTATAAGTTTATGTCCGCTTAGCTTTAGGGGTAGCCCCTTTTGTATTTGTACCTTAAAGAATGTCTTGATTTTTAACTACAGGCTGGAAAACTGGTGGCTTATTTATTTTATGGACTTTAAAGTATGAGATTACCAAGTGAAATGGTTGCTACACGGTTAAGGTTTGGGACAAAGGTGGTTCCACTGCTATAACTTGTAGCCTATAAGTCAACCTTTTGCAATTAAATAACTAAAGTTTATGAGCTTACCTCAAAAAAAGGATATAAATCGTAAAAATAGCATACTTTATCAAGCGGAAAACGTCCAACGGTGCGTATGATTAATGTGGTTGTAAATATCAATCATACGCACTGTTGTACGATGGAGAGTTCTGCTTTATCAAAGAGGTGCTTTAATGAGTGTTTTTTAAAGAAAAAGAAAGAGTATGTTAGGCTTTAAAAATATACATATTTTAAACTTTTTATAGACATAATAAGCTAATTAAATTATTTTTTTTTATATTTACAGAATGCGTTCGTTCATCGAGGAGAACGAGAAGAACGATCCATTGATCAACGCGCCGGATAAAAAGAACAATCCGTGGGCCGAAAAAGGCAAATGCGTTATCATGTAATATTATCGTAAACCACAGAAATACCGCCATAACTATGATAACCAGCCAAACAACAATAATGCAACCCATTCCACGACTCATACCACTACAACAACAACCACTACAACAGCAACAACTGGTCAATACAATTATGAAAATCCACAACAACAAAATCAAGAACAACATAGTTTTGAGACCCCTAACCGATGTAGCAGTCAAGTTTCGGGTAGGGGCGATGATTCCCTAGATCTAGTGCCGGTAGAGATGCAGCACTATAACAACAACTACTACTACTACTACAACTACAATCTGAGCTACGAGCCGCCGGGCGATCGTTGGGCGGTGGGCAGCGTCGGCAGCGGGATAAGCGGAAGCAGTCGGTTGCAGCAGCTCAAGCGAAGGACACGGTACGAGCTGCAGCAATGGCCGCTGCTCATGCAGCTGCTGCTGTTTGTCATGTGGCTGAATGCCAAGTTCTGGCAGTTGGTCAACGAACAGGTGACCTACCGCCGCCGCAGGTGGCATTGAGGGAACGAGAAGGAGGAGCAGGAACAAGTGCGACGACGGGTGTTGCTGGGTATGAGTTCGATCTAGCTTAAGTTGTGAAAATTATGCCCACACTCTTTCAAAATCTCATCTCAATAAAAATAATCAAAATGCGCTGCGTAGTGGAAGCAGTGCAACCACAGCCAAAGATAACTTCTGTGTGAACTTAGCCAGCCGAACTTAGCAGAACAACAGCAAACCATCCAGAACAAGGAGTACTCAACACTCGAACTATTCGAGTACTCAACACTCGCTACTCGTAATTGTTTACTCGTTACTCGCAACTCGTTTCTTTCTCACGATTTCGTCTCATCATCGTTCGCTATCCATCGTTGTCGATCTATCGTCGTTTCTCTCTCGTCGTTTTTTATACTCGTCTCCTACTTTTCGCTAGTTCATCCCACTACGTTCTTTCTAGCTATCGTTCTTAGTCGTTATTGCATGCCATTACATTCTTAGAAACTTCCTTTCAATATCGCTATGTTTTCTTTGCACCCACCACCCATCATCAGCGCAATCATCATCGCCATCATCAGCCACACATCCCATGCCCATTACTCCAATCCCACCCGAACCGTAAACCAAGCCAAAAACTCAAACCAAAGCAAATCACACTCGATAGTTGACAGCGCTAACTTGATCATATCAGCCATAAGAAAATAGCAATGGGCCTAAAGCCTCTATAAATGTAACCCACCCATCATCTGTAGAGTCAACCAGAAGCCTTAGAAGCGCCCAGAAAAAAAGAAAACCAACAGGGAAACCTTAAGATCTACAAACTTTTAATCGAGGTTTCTCCTTAAAAGCTTGCCTAAGAAACTATTCTTCGAAATGGAAAACTGATGAAAAGCGAAACACTTTTGTTTAGAGAAACGCGTTTAAGATCAAGCTAAGTAGATTCGTATTTTTGAGTAGCGCTTCTTTATTTCGTAGTCAGGCAAACGCTAACCGAGCAGCAAATTCAATTGTGTTTAATCTTCAACATATAGTATTTACGAATATATGGATAATATAATTTTATATACAACATACATATAGAGTTATATGCTAGGTAACGAGCAATTTAAAGGCAGACGCTGTAGTTACTCGAAGATGATAAAATTATATTTAGTTTTAACAAATATTATTATATACGCAGACCACACACAAGAACACACTGACAAACCATACGAGAAAAACGAACTATTAAAGTAGAGCCCGTAACATTTGTACGGATCATAGTTGAACCATTAGCGTGAAATACTTTAGAGAGATCCACAAGAGTCAGCTGAAACTTTATAAGTTATATGCTTAACTGCAGAATGGACTTGACAAACGAAAGAATTAAAATGCGTAAACTACATTATATTATAAACTATTATATACGATATTGAGAGTGTGAAGCCCCAGTGGCTTCCCTCAAAAAACAAGGCGCTGTTCAGCTGTTTGAAGAGAAGGTTATAGAAGATACCTAGCAAAGGTTTTATGAGTTTACGTTGAATAAAATACTATGTTCAGCTTATCATATTGATTTCTATTTATCGCTTAGGCGTATTATTTGAAAAAGATGAAGAAATAAAAGACAACAGTCGATACACAAACCGAACACATTCCACACAACATGTACACGAGATTACTGAAACGGCAAACTGAGGTTACAAAAACATAAATAATAATATAATAAGAGTAAACACAACTTAAATGATAAATACTCCGAATATGTAGCGACTAAAGCGAGCACATTAATATTAATATTAAGTTGAGGAACAAAGTAGCAAGTTGAATTATAAGTAAGTCGCGCAAAAGTCAAACCAAAACTCGTACTACAAACATGAAACCTAAAATAAGCAGCAAACGAAGCAAGATAACTTAACAAAATGCAGAGGAACGGAGCCGAACCCAATAGCAGACGTACTAGTGGTAGAACCTTAAGGATAATCCAAAAGGATACACGAGATCTAGGGAAATCAATTCGAGGCGCCCAAAGATGACCTACAACCGCAAGACCAACAACGAATTCTTTGGGCCCTGAGAAGTCAATGTGGAAGTGAAAGAAGTTTAGATGGACGAAGCACAAAGTAGTAGACCGCTACATCTAGAAGGAACACCAAACAAAAAAAAAACATAAATGATACGGAGTAGAAGTCAAGAAGCTCCAATCCAAATATTAAGCAAAATTCAGCAGAAGAAATACAAAATCTATATTAAGGTATTGGTGGTTACATAAATTATAAATCGATATTATAGACGACAATTTGAAGATAGGGATATAATGGAAACGAATCAAAAGGCCTGAATTCTGGCGATACTTGTAAAGTATTTCCAGGCTTCACAGACAGTGGAGACTCATTCGGATGTGAGGCAGCTATTACGTGCCTGTTTCACATCCAGAACGTGTGCCTGTCTGACTGAAAGTTGAAATCAAAGTATAAAGTTCAATCTAAAGTATAAATCTTATATATAAATGTATAGTCTTGTACCCAAGAGCAATTACGTGTTGTGCCTCTGGCTTAGTCCAGGCTGAAAATATTTTTAAAAACTTACAAATTACTTCCCTGGCGGGAGTGGAAAGTCCTTCAAGAGAGCATTAAGCACGCTGAGTAGCCTGGCAAGGAGTCCTGGCGAAACGGGTGTGAGGGTGCCACCAAAATTGAAAGCCTGTCGCCCGCCAGATGAGGATAAGTTCTTGAGAAGTCTCCTTCAAGTCGATATCATACGAATATTCCACATGGCCTTGGGTGAGTCGGGGGCACTGCACTGGCTTGCTCGGTAAATGTACTCGCACTCTATCAGTATTTAACCGAAAATCGTTAATCGTATTACAATTCGTATTACAATTAGTCAAAAGAGGCAAAACCATAGAAAAATTAATGTTGAGGGTCATTTGTGAAAGAATGTAGGGAATGTAGGGAAAGAGCGGATATTAAGTAAAGGATACATTTTAGTAATTTTTCAGCAAGTTCTAGCATCAGCATATTCAATTATATAAATGTTAAAATTAAACTAACTACTAATATAGAAAAATATATATACATACAACATAGCAGAGGAATATTACAACACAAGTTATTGCAAGTTACGTGAATCGCGGCGAACTCAATTAAAAAGTCTAGCCCATAAGTGACGACAGTCGAAGGTTGCACAGAAGTACAGCATGTGCCAAAAGCTGCGATAACAGCTGCAGAGCTGCCCTGAGCAGATCACAAAATGGCAGATTTCGAACAAACAGTACGATTCTCTAGGATGTAAGTTGATGTTACAGTTCATTAAAAGTGTTTATATTATACATGTATGGGCAAACCAGTATATTATCGATTACAAGCATAACTCAATATAACAATATGATATACGTCAAATATTACTATGTGTATTCATTAAATGTGTGTACAAAAAAAAACACAAAACTTTATTGTTACAATTTAGGATATTAAGTGACGTAATTGCTAAGGTATATGGACATATAGATTACGATTCTGAAACTTATATGATATGATTGATTCTTAAACTTGTCGAATTGCGAACTCAGACAAACAAAACCACGGTGCCGAACAACATCACAGGCGTAACCAGAAACCAAAGAAAAAAACAATTATAATTTAGAATGAAATCGAAACACAAGCTAAAATCTAGTTAGTAAGAGAATTTTAACACAGCATAGAAAAAAAAAACATAAAACGAAAAACCAAAGGTGAGAGGAAGATTACACCGAAAGAAGCAAACACGAAACTCAAATAGTATGATATAACAAACATGTATTTAGCTGTTAAAAAAAAAACATCTACTAAACAAAAACATACAAAACAACAGGTAAACTACAATTTGAAGGCAAAAGCATAAGTATGATTATCATTAAAGGAACTTCTCTAAATAAAAGTAAACTTTGAAAAATCCTTAGCGGAGAAAAACTACCCTCTCTATAAAAAAAAAAAAAAAACTAAAAAAAAAATGTCGATTGTGTTTTATTTCCCCCACTCTCCCTCTCTCCGCCCAAAAGATGAAGCTACGATCCTACCCCGATTAATTGGTGTTGATGATGATGATTATTGTGCTTTGGTAATGCTGCTGCAATGTGCTTTTTGCTATTCCTTTGCCATGCTTTGCCTCAGTTTGTGACTTAACATGTTCATTTGGTATTATTTTGTAAATATATATATATATCTGCTTTTTGGCCTGTACATAATTGTGCTTGAGCTTCAGCTTCGTTTTTCAGCAAAATTCTTAATGTATTTCTTCACATTAACCCCTCGAATACTCGGCATCTTCGGTCTGCTGCAACCCCAGAAAGTACTTTTGGGGGGAAAATGTCTGGAGAACAGATTTAAGCTTGACAATTCTACTTTGGCGTAAGTATAGAACGAACTGGGAAAAAAGACCAGTTACCGACAGTTCCTTAAATTGCATCGCTGTTGTTGCCAACTTTTGCTTCTTGGCAGCTTTTCAGATTACCAGCTAGCCCGGATAAGCAGCAGGCGGCAAAAACTTTCAGCCCGGCCAAGTTTCTCTTTGAATTTCAGTAAGTTTCTCCAGTTGTTGCAGAACATGTTTCGAGTAATTAGTAAACGGTGCGTATGCGTGATGAATTGCGCATTTTGTAAGTGCATTACAGCTTGAAGGGGAAAAACGATTTCCGAAGACGATGTCCTTTTGTCCTGCGACAAATTCAATTAAGTTCTTCGCCGACTGCCAATTGAAATGCGAGAATATTTAAATGCTGGAGGGTATTCGAGCTCAGCGTATCGATTGGCAGGCGTTGAACTGTGGCAGAGTCAGTTGGCTGAATTGGATTATTGGAAATGAATTGGAAACTGCTGCTTGCCTTGTTGGCCGGAAAACAATGAGTCACTTCGCTGAAATATTAGCTCTGCTTTATTGTTTTAATTGTTTAAAGTTCTAATTCATTAAATAAAGAGTTCAATTGAAGGAAAATTTGTGTATTTTATTGTTCTTGGATGGGTTTGCTCAAAAGGTTGCTTTAAATTTTCATACTCAAACGCATTTCTAATGCAAATTGGGTGGGCCAGAAATAACGTAAATGGCAGCATTGGCGAATGTATATGCCAATTGCTGGGTTGCGAAATTAATGCGACCCTGGTGAACGGTCCGTGAAGGCAGGAAGAGAAAAACAAAGACCCAGGACACCCACACAGGAACGGAATAAATTTT